GGCATTTTGCTTCCTCAACGGGCAGTTGGTCTTTGGACCTTCCTTTAGCATGCCTTTGTTGCGGAGTGCAATTATCAGTCTTAGTTTGAGAGCAGTATTGTCTCAAAGTTGGCCGAAACGCTCAGAAATGTCTATGAAAAATCGTGTTTTGGGCCGATTTTAAGCAGCCACTGCGTCTGATCCGAGGCGGGCATTTTGCTCCCTCAACGGGCAATTGGTCTTTGGACCTTCCTTTAGCATGCCTTTGTTACGGAGTGCGATTATCAGTCTTAGTTTGGGAGCAGTATTGTCTCAAAGTTGACCAAAATAGTCACAACGATTTTTCAAAGACACTTGCGACCGTTTTGATCGACTTTGAGACAATACTGCTCCCAAACTAAGACTGACAATCGCACTCCGTAACAAAGGCATGCTAAAGGAAGGTCCAAAGACCAGTTGCCCGTTGAGGGAGCAAAATGCCCGCCTCGGATCAGACCCAGTGGCTGCTTAAAATCGGCCCAAAACACGATTTTTCATAGACATTTCTGAGCGTTTCGGCCAACTTTGAGACAATACTGCTCCCAAACTAAGACTGATAATTGCACTCCGTAACAAAGGCATGCTAAAGGAAGGTCCAAAGACCGATTGCCCGTTGAGGGAGCAAAATGCCCGCCTCGGATCAGACGCACACGGTTAGCGCGACTCCTTGAAAAACAAGGACGGTTTTTGAAAAACAAGGAAAGATGGAACACTTCAAGGAAGTTCCTTGGAAGTGTGCTCCCATTCCAAGGAGGCTCCCTTGTTTTCCAAGGCCAGTCCCTTGTTTTCTTGGACTCCAGACAAATTCCAAGGACCCGCCTTGTTTTTGGGGTGCACTTCCAAGGGGACGCCTTGGTTGGTCTCTGCCGATTCAAGGAACCGCCTTGTTTGTCCGCAAAAGCTCAAGTTACGTCGTCGGCCACGTCATGGGGTCCCCGATGACGTCCCCCTGGGGTTCACCATGACGACCCCCATGTTTCTCCGTGCCGTTGAGGCTGCCGGGTCTCACAGTGGCCAACGCCGAAAACCGTTTTCTTCTACGTCCAGTACTTTCGGAGATACGAGGACGTACCACGAGGCCGCCGTCCAGGCGGAGGAGGAAGTGGTGATTTTTTCGAGGCCAAAGTAGCTCTGGCCACGAGCCTACTTGGTGTCCGGGACTTTCGACTTCGGAATTGGGTTAGGGGGGTGCCGGCCCACCTCAAAACCAAATTTGGTCAAGTTCCGGCCAGCCGTTTGTCCAGGATGGCGACAACATCATCCAATCAGCAAAATAAGTCCACAAATCGAGCTGTTTGACGCCATCCTGGACAAACGGCTGGCCGCAACTTGACCAAATTTGGTTTCGAGGTGGGCCGGCACCCCCCTAACCCGATTCCGAAGTCAAAAGTCCCGGACACCAAGTAGGCTCGTGGCCAGAGCTACTTTGGCCTCGAAAAAATCACCACTTCCTCCTCCGCCTGGACGGCGGCCTCGTGGTACGTCCTCGTATCTCCGAAAGTACTGGACGTAGAAGAAAACGGTTTTCGGCGTTGGCCACTGTGAGACCCGGCAGCCTCAACGGCACGGAGAAACATGGGGGTCGTCATGGTGAACCCCAGGGGGACGTCATCGCGGACCTCATGACGTGGCCGACGACGTAACTCGAGTTTTTGCGGACAAACAAGGCGGTTCCTTGAATCGGCAGAGACCAACCAAGGCGTCCCCTTGGAAGTGCACCCCAAAAACAAGGCGGGTCCTTGGAATTTGTCTGGAGTCCAAGAAAACAAGGGACTGGCCTTGGAAAACAAGGGAGCCTCCTTGGAATAGGAGCACACTTCCAAGGAACTTCCTTGAAGTGTTCCATCTTTCCTTGTTTTTCAAAAACCGTCCTTGTTTTTCAAGGAGTCGCGCTAACCGTGCAGTGGCTGCTTAAAATCGGCCTAAAACACGACCCCAGCATCGCCGCGACCCCTTAAAAAAATTTCGCGACCCCGCTTGGGGTCGCGACCCTAAGGTTGAGAACCACTGGGTTAGCGAGTTGAACCGCCTTTCCGTGTGCGCGCACGTCGCACACGCTGCCAAGCACCCAAAGCCCAATGCATTCCAGGCGGATCATGTTTGACGGGCCGCCGCGTCGCCGCCGTGGCGTAACACACGTTCACGCCCTCGTCCGTGACCCCGCGGTGCACCGGCCGCTCGGCCTGGGCGGGGCGGGGCGGGGTGTTGCCTGGAGCGGTGCCGGCCGGCCGTCGAAGGGCTTGGCCTGCCTGGCCTTCTTGTCCCAGAGGCTCTGCATGCGTGATGCCCGCAGCCATCGACCCGGCCGGCGTTAATGGGTGATTCCACGCCAACTGAGTCAGTCACAAAACGGCATGGTCTCGGATCGGGACGAAACTTACGCAAATCGTAGGTCTAGTAGTGGGATGACTAAATCCAAAAGCGTTTGGCCGAAAAATGTCTAGAAGCCGAGATATTGAGAGGTTAAATATGGTGCCGGGACAGCGACACGGAGACAGTTTTTCGCTCGCAGTTTCGGTAATATCCATCGGATCGAGAAACCAAGCATACCGTTGGAAAGAGGAGAAAATTTCACAAAAAGTACTTCCTTTACTTTCTTTTAAAAAGTAAAAATAGTGTTTGATACGAAATAACCTTACTTTTGATTTATCGTAGAAAGTTAGTTGCACCACCAAATTTGCTGGGAAACGTCTTAAAAAATTCCCCGTGAAACAAAGATAAGAAAAAGATCAACCACAAAAAGTACTATTTCTCGTTCCCGAGATATCTGCATTTAACTATCTTGAAGTAGCGTTGCGAGTTCAAGCTCGCGCGGCGGACGAGGTATGAGAAATCCTGCGGCACACTGAGTTGTTTACAACCGTTGCATTTGTGATTTTGACCGCATCCACAGCTATGTCCGCCTCACACACTCTTCCTTGCACGTTTCGTACGCCACTTTGTCAGTATTGTGGCTCAAAATGTACGTTTTGCTCTAATTCGGGTCATTTAGCGACGTGCCTACTGATGCGTGCGCCGCAGGATTTCTCATACCTCGTCCGCCGCGCGAGCTTGAACTCGCAACGCTACTTCAAGATAGTTAAATGCAGATATCTCGGGAACGAGAAATAGTACTTTTTGTGGTTGATCTTTTTCTTATCTTGGTTTCACGGGGAAATTTTTTTAAGACGTTTCCCAGCAAATTTGGTGGTCCCAAACTAACTTTCTACGATAAATCAAAGGTAAGGTTATTTCGTATAAAAACACTATTTTTATTTTAAAAAAAGAAAGAAAAGGGAAAGGTATTTTTTTGTGAAATTTTCTCCTTTTTCCAAACGGTATGCTTGGTTTCTCGATTTGATGGATATTACCGAAACTGTGAGCGAAAAACTGTCTCCGTGTCGCGTCCCGGCACCATTTTTAAACCTCTCAATATCTCGGCTTCTAGTATTTTTCGAC